CATTATTTTTATGGCCTTTTCAGTTTTTATCTAGAAATCAAATTATTTCTTTTGTAAATATCAATACTATTATCAGAAGGGAAGCGGAATGTGCGTCCGTTAACATTGTTTCGGGTTCCTATATGCCAAAGCGTGGGTGAGGGAACGGGGGTGCACCGGTTTTTGACCAGTGGATGGAACGCGAATTATCAAGACCATCGATAAACCATGGAGATCCATCTTATATCTCCATGGTTAAACTTTACGGGAAGAGTGCAGCTATATCAGGTTTTATCATCCGATTAAAAAAAAAATTACCTTTCCACTTTGCCCCCATCTGTCTGTCCGTATGTCTGTACGTACTATGTCCGCCTCTCCCCCTCTCTCTCTCTCTCTCTCTTTCTCTCGGCCGCTCTGTATCTGTATGTCTGTCTGTCTGTCTGTCTCTCTCTCTCTCTGTGTGTGTCTCTCTCTCTACCCACTCTCCCTTCTTCCCTCTCTAGTCTCTCTCTCTCTCTCTCTCTCTCTATTTCTCTCCCCCCTCTCTCTCTCTCTTTCTCTCGGCTCTGTATCTGTCTGTCTCTCTCTCTCTCTCTCTCTCTCTCTCTCTCCCTCTCTCTACCCACTCTCCCCTCGTCCCTCTCTAGTCTCTCTCTCTCTCTCCCTCTCTCTCTCTTTCTCTCGGCTCTGTATCTGTCTGTCTCTCTCTCTCTCTCTCTCTCTCTCTCTCCCTCTCTCTACCCACTCTCCCCTCGTCCCTCTCTAGTCTCTCTCTCTCTCTCCCTCTCTCTCTCTTTCTCTCGGCTCTGTATCTGTCTGTCTGTCTCTCTCTCTCTGTCTCTCTCTCTCTCTACCCACTCTCCCTTCTTCCCTCTCTAGTCTCTCTCTCTCTCTCTCTCTCTCTCTCTCTCTCTCTATTTCTCTCCCTCTCTCTCTCTCTCTCCCTCTCTCCCCCTCTTTGCCATTGATTGATGACACATGCCCTTGTGCCCCCGTTACTAATCCACAACACTAAGTTCACACTATGATAATGATGAAATAGGATATACTTTATCATGAAATTTCTTACCTCAGGGATAGCTTTAGAAGTATTTAAAAAAGCGTCTTGTTACGTCGAGAAGTGCTAAAAACATGAAGTGATTGAGTCTGCATCGTTGCGGGTTTTTACCAAAGGTCTATTTTGAGTTCATCGATATCCTGGGGCTTACAAGACAAGAAAGGAAAATGTTTACCGCTAGTGAATAATCCATGTGTGCATAATTATAGATAGACTTACCGAATATATTTCGCTCGAAAGATATCCCTTTCGTAAACTAGATAAGATGATTCTTTTGTGAAAACTTAATAACAAAATATACGCCAGTCTTATACGCAATGAATACCAATATTGCAAAATTAAAGACAGGCAGTGTTCACGCCTTTAGCTATATTATTTTAGATTCAAGGCCCCTATGACATTAAACAAAGTGTAAACAACTTTACCTCTTGACTTTCATTCGTATTATTTTAGCATTGTGACGTAGTAATGGTTTGCCTCTTATGACATTGCCAACGGGTCTGTGAGCAATGTTTCACCATACCTTGACGTAGCTGAACAGGGGACGGGACAGGGGGAATGGGGGCACGTGCCTCCCATTGAATAGCAAAGAAAAAGAGAATGATAAATGAAAGGGAAAAGTATAAACAGATTATGCTCGAATCCTTAAAATCACACAAGAAAGTAAAGGAGAGATAAAAAAAAAAAACGGGGGACAGAGGGAAAGGAGAAAGAAAGAAAGAAAAAAAGAGACAGAGAAAGAAAGAGGAAGAAGAAGGGAGAGAAATAGAAAGAGAAAGAGAAAGAGAAAGAGAAAGAGAAAGAGAAAGAGAAAGAGAAAGATGTTTAGAAGAGAGAGGAGGACAAGAAAAAAAAAGGGGGGGGGCAACATGAAAGATGATTGCCCCTTTTCCACACCATCACGCCGATCGTAGGCCTTGTTTAATCGGTGCCTCCGCCATCCCCAATGACCCCCCCCCCCTCCCCCCTCTCTCTCTCCCCCCCCCCCCACCTCCCCCCCTCATTGGCTAGAACCATGCTACACCAATGCCTCAATGTACTCGCTGGGTGAATATGGCGTGAAATTAGCACCGGAGATACACTCAAGTGCATGAAGGTGAATAAGAAATCGTGCTATCAAGGTAATCGTGACGTCATTGTGGCCAGGGATCGAGAAGAGGGGTACCAAGAACATGAAAATGGGTCGTCAAAGATTTTAAACATTTCGTTTCAAAAGTACTTTTGAATGTGAACTGGTGTATTCTCCCAGCTAGCAATAGGAGATTGTGCCAGCGTTTGGCCAAATGATTGAACCTTGAGACGTCGCGTCAGCTCGACATCAAAATGTTGACGTTGGTCCGATGTTAAAATGTCCGCCAGCCCAATGTTGGCCCAACATAATTTTCTTGATATTGGGCCAATGTTATAGCACAGCGAGAAAAGGGGCCATGAAAGTGAAAATTATGGTCGTGATAGATTATGAATATTTCTTTCCAGAAATTATTTCGAATGACTCCGGACTGGAGTATTATGTGTGGGCGAACACTGAGAAAGTGAGCATGATAATAAATTATGAGGAACACAGTACTTAAAGAAGTTAACATTTTGCGTGAAATGTGTACTTTAACCAGGGCCCCGCCTTATAAAGAGTTGATATTAAACACAGCTTATTTGCAATTGATATCATTCGTAATTATGAACATCAGAGATAGAAGACTGCAAACTTGTGATTGATTGGGATCAATCGTACATGTAACTCTGTATAAGACGGTGCCCATGTCACATTAAGCTGTTCATATGGGCTGGGCACGGGAGAGGGGGGGGGGGGGGGGGGGTTTCCACGATCCTCGAATTCCACATCTGGCTCGATTTTAACAGCCAGACAAATCTTATTGTTGTCAGGAATATCACAACTTGAAGCCATCGATTTTCGTCTTCACTCCCCCCGAATCTCGCCAGTTTATTTTTAAACTTTGAGATGCTTAGTAAGGTTACGTGCAATATGCACAAAGAGGGGATACACTATAGTTACTGAAATGCACTTGAAGCAGTTTTTTTATTATTTTAAATCTAGTAAAACGTTGTAAATTTCTTACACTGAAGATAATAATATACCTTAACATGACTTTTCATACAGTTTTAGAAACTCGGAGAACCTATCCCGACTAGCACTCGTGCTAACTTCTGGTTCTCCCTTTAACAACATTTAAAGTTTTTTAAAGTTTAAAATATCCTTTATTTGAATCACTTATACACTATTGGAACTATGTGAATCTCCATAGTCACATTTTTATGTATCTTTAAGGAATCCAACCAAATCTCTGCGTATTATTAAGTTATGGCTAATTCACAGGTTTTATATTACATGATAATGATTAATTTAATTTGTACAGTCATAATGGTCAACTATGGATATTTTCTCTTTCTTTGTAACTCATGTACATGGATATGTATACGACATCAACTGTTTAATTTGTGTTATCTTGTTACCCGCTTGAGTACATTTGTAACATTGTGTTATGTTGTTAATCAATTCAAATTCAAATTCAAATAAGTTAGTGACCATAGTCATTTATATTGACGTTGTGCTCAGTGCTCACACGCCATGACAGTTTCTTTTTGGCCTTTCGATACGCACCTTTCGATGGGTGGGGGTGACATTAAAAAAAAGACCTTTCGGCACTTACCTATATACATTTCGTTTATGCATGTCCGTGCATCTTGTATTTAAACAAAAAACTAAGACCACAAACCAGATTAGCCATTTGCAGCAGTTACTCTCTACCTTCTGTTTTGTATACAAAAATCATAGAAACTGACAAGTATATGCATGAATAACAAGAGGTGGCGCTCTTTTAGTTTTGGACGCGTGGAAGATTGAACCAATTTTCTCTTTCGTGACGATATCACCATCTTCATCGGAATGAATGGGATCATTCCTTGTCTGAATAAACTATTTTCAAAAGATAAAATAACAGTGTGAATTGTGACCATGTTTGTGAGACCATTTGTAATTTATTTATCAATACATATTTTGATTTTTATTATTCAGTTTAAATTGGATATTGGACAATAAAACTACGATTGAGAAGTAAAAGTAGCATGGTGATCAGATTCGCCTGGGTTAGTGGCGAGGAACATCAAGTAAACGCAGGGGTGGCCGAGCGACTTCCTGAGGGGGGGGGGGGGGGCGCTAATGAAAAAGGGGCACTTACAAAGAAAAATCTCAAAGCAAAAAAAAAAGAGGGGGAAAATTAGACATTTGTATATACCCCTACATTGTGATTACATTACCAGGGAAGGTTTCAATGTTAGTTTCTCGTTATGCATCATCCGGTGCATCATACTTTGCATTTAGGTGTGCTGGTCTGAATATTCATTTGCTAGCGAGCGAAGATTGTGAGGTCTCAGTGCGAAAAATTACATCTTATAAAGAAAAAAAAAAATCCTGATGTGGTTCTTTCAAACACATTCTCATAACGTACGCGTATACTGAAAGACCTTTGCTAAGTAACATATTAAGTAATAACTTATAAATGCGAGCGAGCTTTGGGTAAATCGCTCTTAGTCCCTTTAAATTCGGGGCACGTTTAATGATGGGAGGATAAGGGGACCCTTATTATTTTTAATGAGGGTAATTATCAGAGGTGAAAATGGGGCACTCTTACAAAGTAATAGGGCACTTTTTCCTTTGCAGATAGGGGCACTTCAGCAGGTGGCATTGTGTCCCCCCCTACCCCCCCCCCCCCCCCCCCCGGGAGCGCCGCCCATGAGTACATGGTCAGAATGAAGAGGAGATTAGAAAACGTCTCGATAAAATTTGCCCCAGTGGATTTGAAAAAAATAAACTGAAGAGTGAAGAATGAAAATTACTTCTTCCGAAGTTATGTTGAAAACGAAATGGCGTCCTTGTCTGCTTTGCGCAAGCGCAATGATATGTGTACAATATTCATGTACACATGTACTTGCACGTACGTATTCGCTATGGAGCTCTCAGTCTATGCTATGTCGATCCTCGTACTGTAAAATACGTGCGGGAGCTCTCGCCGTACCGTAGCCAGCCAGCTTCGCTCCGCTTGTAAATTGTATACAACATGTCAACATATGCATAGCGGACGCACACTGTGTATAGCGCAGCAGCCAGATTTTTTTAGAAGCGGTGAAAGTTATTTTCTGAAATACCTCCCCATTCTCTCCGAATTTGTACTAATTTCTCACAAGCTGGGCGCTATCGGGAATATGAAGAGGCGAACTGCCGACTGCGGCAGACCTAGACGTCCTTTGAAACGTACAAAGATCACGGAGGGTATTTACGGCAGGTAATTTTTGAGACAAAATAATGTCGGTGACCAGTGACAGTGTCCCTGGCCCTGTGCATGTTTGATGATAAGGTCTGATTGTGGGTGACAGATTGTCAAGTTGAAAGTGTATGAACTGTTGTTTGTTTTCACTGTGAAGGATGATGTTGACTTAAACTAGGGATATTCAACATTAAATGTATACAGTTTCAGAAATGGGTGTAAGGTTAACCTTATTCAAGCATTGTCTAACTTTTAGTTTTAACATGCAAACAAAATGGATGTCAACATGGTCAATGGACAATTCCATATTTCAAGAAGAATATGATGAACAACGGAGGAAGAAGAAGAAGAAGAAGATGATTATGAGATATGATGAGGTCATTCATTCACTGATCTCACCCACATGCACGAGCCTACGATGAGAAAAAACGGATACCTCCATGATCTTACTCCATGATGCTCCATTAAACGACATCTCGACACTGTCGCTTAACTTGTCCGCTGAGGCCTGAATTCACAAAGGAGGTTTGTCAACAAACCTAGGTTTATGTGCGTCATATGACGCGTTTTGACGCGGTTTTGACGAACCTTGTTTGTAAAAACGTGTTGAAAACGCGTCATATAAACCTAGGTTTTTCGACAAACCTCCTCTGTGAATTCGGGCCTACATGTACAGTGTACATGTAGATCTAAGTGTTTCACAAAACTGTCTTTGCCAAGATGAGCGAGAATTTCTTGTCATGACTCCAAACCCGTCATATTTATTTAGGAGGAGGCGCGATAGCTCGGTCGGTAGAGCAGGGGTCTCGTAATCCGGTGACCCGGTTTCGAAACCAAGTCGATGCACTAGTGCTCTTTGGTAAGGCATTAATCCTCATTACCAGGTCCCTCGGAGAGGACCTAAAGCCGTCAGCCGTCTGGTTGCTTACTTACAAGCATTTATGCTTTCTTAGCAGTCAGGTAAAAAAATGAAATAACCACCAACCCCCACCACATTTAGAACGCCATCTCAAGGCAACTTTAAGTTAGTGTAAGAGTATGGGAAGCGAAATAATTAAAACTGAAATTTTATTTTAAAACTTATTTCTTGATCTTTAAGCTCTGGCTCATTTCACTGATCAGTTCTTAATAAATACATACAAACTGTTCTTATAAGGTTTTAATGCATTTAACAAGTAAATAATAAAAATATCTTTTGTAGTTAAATCAGTCTACTATAGAGAAGTCACCGAAGATCAAACAGTCTGTAATTACAGATCAATGAGAATGACGAAATTTTTGTAAAGGTGTTTCTCTAGACATTTTCCATTTTAAAGCCTAATCTTGATACAAATCATAGCACATAAATATTTGGTAAATAAATGTTAAACTAGGCCTGTAACAGATCATCGGATCATAGACCGATCTTGAGCCGATCAGGGGTGATCGGATAATAATATTCGATCGCCGATCAATAAAAATGATTTTTTAAATGCCAACATTTTCAAGGTTTTGGCTATCAAATGCTTTAAAAAAATTCATAGCAGGGATTATTTTGTCATTTGGAGTTGTTGTAGACAATGTTTGTTGATACTTAGGCAGCCATCTTGGATTATAATGTAAGCATGCATTATAATCCAAGATGGCGGCCCGCATGTTTTGCCTCTTCTCTTAGACCAATATTATTAATTTCAAAGTCATAAAAAGGCACTAAATATCAACAAACATGGTCTACGACAACTCCAAATGACAAAATAATCCCAGCCATGAATTTTTAAAAGTATTTGACATCCCAAAACTTGAAAATTTTCATCATTAAAAAAATTCTGACGATTTTTTTTTTGCCAATTATTTTTGCCGATACCAATCACAGGTGCGAGGGTGTCGCTCTGATCTTCCGATTCCGATCAAAGCCCCAACTTACAGGGTTATGTTAAACTATGAGTTATAAAATATATTTTTTTAAATCATTTTCTTGACTTGAAGAAAAGTCTCTAACAACCGATTTTTAGCTGAATTCAATTTAATTTTGTGTCGAGGCAACTTTATCAAAATTGGAATTGAAAAGGTGTGGGCCCCCATTACAAAAATACACTGGTTACACGATAAGATATCATCTTCATTAAAGCCCCACTGCACTACATGTAGTTTGGCCAGGAGGGATTGGACCTCCCTGTATGGTCACTGACAGGTGGTTATCTCATCAAATCGGCTTTCAATTCACATACCGTAAGAAAAAGGGGATCATGACGAACCAAGGGTCACGGATTAGGCATTGTTTGCTACATGAGGGCGCAAGTAGCTATGTATGTAAGTAGTGCAGTGGGACTGTAATTCATATGGATGGAGATTGCACATTGCATTATATAATATTCTGAGTGTATTATTACAACTGTACAGTACATGTAGTTGCTTTAGGCAGGAAGAGTAGGAATAAATTATAATGCCATACCTATAGAGGATGTTTTAGCATATCAGGTTTTGTAATTTTGTACATGTCTCTATTGAAATTAAGTTATTGATATAAAACATTTGCCATACAGTATCTATGAATTTCAGTAGTATAAAAAGTTATTTACAATGTATATCTAATTGTACACAACATACTCCAACTCAAGATGTGCTATGTTCATCGAAACAGAATATATCAGAATAAAAAGGATGCCATTCACATATACACACATCTCTTCATACATGTAGTTTGGTGTGTGAATTAGGCTTTGTATTGTACCTTTCTTTTGTAGAATATTAACACTTTCATGAACAGTCATGTGCATAATGCAGACACTTTGAGTGGCATGATTTTACAACCTATTACGGGTAGAACATCCTTCCCTTTTTATGTGATATGTAGATGTACCGCCCTTTTTATTATTTTTTAAAAATATAGATCTAAAGGTACTATGGCCCTTATGCAGCCATCCTCAAATTCTGTAGAACTTTGCAGGAATTATGAATATGTCATGTATGTCCTATCTGTGAAATTTAAACGTTAGCAGTGTCCTCATATTCAAATTATGCAAGGAAACCCGTTTACTTGCTAGACTTCACTGTCAGACACTATTGAGTGACTGACTGGCATTTTTTTTTTCTTTGGTAATAACATACATGAAAAGAGTTGTAAAGGGTACATGAGCATTTGTCTACATCAATAACCCACTTCTTGTGATGGCCAAGATTAAACTGATTGAATCTTTGCGCAGCATAAAACGTATGACCATTCGGTACAATTGTCTGAAAATCAAGACTATTACTTTTGGGCTCTACATGTATAGCCCTAAAGTCGATTTGACAACTAATAGTCGTTATTTTCCCACTTGAAGACATTTTAAAGCCCCACCTTTTTTAGGGAAGTTCTAAATTAGTATTATCTTTCAAATGCAGTTGGAATTTAACTTTTTCATTTTTTGGCCTGCAAATGGGACATAGTACCTTTAATAGGCAGAAGTTCCCTATTTTTTGTCAGTCTAGTCTCGGTGATCAAACAAAATTCTGCTTTGAAATTTGAAAGGATTCACCGATGCACTTAAATGGGAAGTGAGAAATTGAATATGATTGATGAATTACTCCAATCATGCTTAAATATTGCATTATTAGGAAGTACACAATGTACATGTAGGAATTACAAATAAAAAAAATACGATAGTTCAGAGCACAATCTCAAAAGGCGTTTACGCTTTACAGAACATTCAACCTGCAAGAGCACATACACTACATTTGTACATGTCACCATGTTCTGTACAGTACTAAGATGTAGGCTAAATTTTCAATGCATTTCATCTCTGTTGTGCAATGGTCTGTATTCTGCAATGCCACAGTCATGGGATACCCGGCCTTACACATGTACTGTTCTGTGCAATATGTACATGTAACATGCAATGCATGGGTACCTGTAGGCCTGTATTTAGGCAGGATTCTACTTGGAGTGGAAAACAAGAAAGAAAAAGAAAGGAATAAATAATGAAAGAAAGAAGGAGAGAAAGAGAGAAAAAATAAAGCAAAGAAAAGTAGATAAATAGGATATACATGAAAGATAGAAAAAGTTTCTGTACAAGTAGTTTTATTTTGTGCACAACTCTCTTGGACTGTGGAAATCTTGAATTGCATAAATACATGTACTATACATTGTGTATCAAAAAAAGTTTACCCAACTTTGGTAGCTTCTAATTAAAAAATTATAACCTCTGTGACTTTGAATCACATTTTATTGTAAAAAAGAACTACAGGTGTATCAAATTATTAATTCTATTTGCTTTGTACATTGTACATGTTGCTTTTAGCACTCCTAAATATTTTATAATAATTTGTTATCATTATGATTATTACTTTTGTTGTTTACAATATTATTGTTATTTGTATTCATGTTATTAATATTATTTTTGAAATATTGGTATCATTATTTTATCATCATCATTTACTATTTTCATCATCATCATCATCATCATCAACTTCATCATCAGTCATCATCATCATCATCATCTGTATTACATGTACATGTACATGTATATGGGCGCGTTCATGCTTGAATTTGAAGGCAGAATGAGCAATTTGTAACGCTCATCGTAAACGCTCATCGTAATCGCAGTTCCACTGTGTACTGTTCATGCTCACTTCTCCAGGCAATTCTCCTTGGGTGGCCTTCAGCTGGATTCGCAAACCTGTGTGCGCATGCTACTTAGACCCACTAGAGGTCAGTGCGTTGACCCCATTTAAACGCATTTACAAATTGTAAACGCATCTTTTTGTGAGTTTACGATCGGCGATCGTGATCGCCGTTTTTCGGTGATTCTACAAAAGTGAGCATGAACGCAATCGTGTTTTAAACTAAACGCGTAACAGATGCCTGATTCTGGCCGTCAAAATCAAGCATGAATGCGCCCTATGTACATGTAGTACAGGTGTGCAGTGTACATCATCATGATCATTAGTTATGACTACCAGTACTGAATACACAACTAAGCCAGACTGGTATCATTTCTTTACCTCATTATGATGAAAGTGATGAACCGGGAGAGGAAGGTGAATAAAAAATGGACCACCGCAGCATGCATCTAGGTCATCCTCGGTTGCCATGGTAACTTCCAATTTTTGGATGCGTGCCTTACAAATCATCAGGATGTTGCCTCGGGGTTGGAGGACATAATTATGGGAAACGGAAAAGAAGGAGCATGCTTGCAAAATTTGTCAAGTTTGGTAATGGATGTGGAGCTGCATGAATAATGAGGCATATTTCTTTTCTTCTCTTCAGAATTCAAATGTACAGTACATGTACATCATGTATGCATAGAGCATTTGTATGCCATATCATTATATTTAATATGTATTGTATAGTATATGAGGTACAAATTTTAGATCATTTACACGTTTGTAGATTGTAGATGTTTGAGAGTTATAAGGGATAAATCGTTGTCAGTGAAAGAACAAAGGTAAAGAGGAAAAGAGTGTGATGATAAAAAGTAAAAATAAAAATAATTGGAAAAAAAAGAAGAATTGATTTACAAAGTCTGGAAGGTGACATATTACTTCAAGTTTTGGATTGTGACTTGATTAAAACTTTTTTTTGTTGCGCTAGGAATTTAGAAAAGAAAAAATGCTTCTCAATCCTTAAATTTGCAATTTGTTGAGAGATTCAAAGTCATTGTATTTCTCTCGGAACTGGCAATTTTGTCAACTTTTCAACAACATTCTCGCCTATTTATATTGTTTTCAGAGGTATCATATATTCTTTAAACATGGTAGTAACAAAAGAAAAATATCATTATTGCCAATTTATAGAATGATATGTGGTCAATTTAGCCCTAAATATAAATCCTGTTTTGAAATGGATACAATGTATGTGTCAATTCTGTATCAGGTCTGTTTAGTGTCTATTGTGCTTGGTAAATAATCCATATCGATTCATACATATGTATTTATAGAGTATTGCTGTTATTACAGCCTATTTTGTTATTTCTTTATCTGAAAAGTGGAGGGGGAAATGTACTTCACTATTATGCAGGTTGCCATTGAAATATCACTTTTCATTTCCCCAATCTCGGATGTACAGTTTGAGTCCCATACATTGTACAGTCCCTTACAGTACATACATGTAATATGACTAAGATTGGCATTCAGATGTAAACCACAAAGTACATGTATGAAATAAATAAATGCTTTTCTTGTTGAGGCACGTAGGAAATGTACCAGCTTGTTTTGATTTGTACACAGTGATAGATACAGGATGCACAAACCCCTCAATCAAATGGTGAAAAAAGAAAGAAAACAAGACGATAATATTCCCTTTCACATTCTCCCCCAAACAGTTGCTTTGTATTTCATTTTGACCAGTGCCCACCCTAAAATTCCAGTGTCCCCTCAACAGCTGGAACGATGCCATACCACGCCACTGGTTGTAAATACCTTTTTGTGTACACCTTTACATGTTGTATGGCAATGTAAAATGTTTTCTATATTTTGTAGTGTTGTTAAAGATGGAGTGGCTAGAAATAACTATCATTTTTGTTTGTGTGTGTGGGGGGGGGGGGGGGGGCTGGGAAGTGGTACCCTTGGTTAAAAAAAAGGGTAGTTCACAGCCCTATAATACAGGTACATGCACATGTACTTCACCTTTATGTTTTGAGACATATATGTTCATTTTTTGGTGTTGAAATTTAGGATTTAGCCCTTGGCAATAGATTTTACAGCATTGTGGTTCTTTACTTCAATCGTGAAGATCTCCTTGATGGTGTTGTTTCCAAACGTTTGCAGATAAGGTACTACGTATTAATATTGAATAGATTTCAATATAATGAAAACTGAAACAAATTGGAATTCTCAAAGGAAAATAGTTTATAAAAGAGGACAACAGATTTTGTCTGGCCAGACGGATGGCCACGACCTACATTATGTCGTCCTGTAACAGCTCTCAAAGCTAATAACATGACAATAGATTTTTGTGGGGACTCCTCTTATCGACCACGATACTACTCTCTTTGTACAATGCTTGTAATGATTTGTTATTATTGCTAAAATTCATCTCATTTTCAACATTTCTCCTCTTCTTGCTCCCTTTTTCCGTTCACGTTCACAGTAGTACTTTCCTCTACCTGAAATTCCTTGGAATATGGGGCTTTGTCCTGCTGCTTGACTTTCTCCTGGAGTTCCGCTTTGAGTATCTCTGGCCAGTCTGGCTGCTGCTAAGAAGCATCTACGACTCCTACAAGTACCAAGGCCTGGTAAGATCATAGATGCCTTAGACATACACTAGGCGCGTTTTCATCATCTCGAGATTGCCAAATAGCCCGCTATTTGGGAAAAAATCCTGAAGTAACAAATCGCGTCTTCACTATCTCGAGATTCGACCTCGAAACTTGAAACTCGACTTTGAGAAATTAACTCGAGATATTTTGCCTTACGTTAGCGTGTATTGCGAATCTTCGGTCTAGTAAAGACGCACAGGACAAATAGCTGGATATTTTGCCAAATAGTAGAATATTTTGCAAACTATCCCAAGATATCTTGGGATGACAATCCTGACCAAATATCCTTCTAATTGCTACTTCGGTCTGATGAAGACGCAAATTAGCTGGATAGTTTGCGATCAGGATAGTTCAAATAGCTGGATATTTGGCAATCTTGAGATAGTGATGACAGGCCTACTGTACATGTACCTTCAAGACCGTACATGTACAGTGAAACCTGTTTATGAAGACCACCCAAGTAAGATAAAAAAAGTGGTCTTTATAGGCAGGTGGTCTTCATGTACAGGGATCTTTAGTACATGTTTTAATGAGTAACCATTTTCATGGGAAACAAAAAATGTGGTCCTTGTAGACAGGTGGTCTTTGTAGAAAGGTCCTTAAAGAGGAAGTCCACCCTGAAATTAAGTTAGTTTTAATAGGAGTAGAAAAATGAGAGAAACAAGTCAGTGAAAGTTTGAGCAAATTCCGATTAAAAATAAGGAAGTTAGGATTTTTGAAGTTGTGATCAATCAAACACAAATTGGCAACTCTATGACGTATCATGCGAGCTCAACTTCCATTTGCTCAGTACTAAAAAAATCTAAAATTTTCATTTTCCCTCAAGAAAAATTTCAACCATACTGTACATGCACCCTAAATATAATAATTGCAAATATGTTTCTATACTCCCCCTGCAAGGAACAAATATATATTCCGTCATCAATAACGAAGAAAACATGATTTTATGGAATATTATGCACAAAGCAAATGAAGGAGAGCTCGTATAATAAGTCCCAGAGTTGCCAATTTGTATTTGATTGAACACAACTTCAATAATTCATAACTTTCTTATTTTCATTCAGAATTTGCTCAAACTTTCACTCACCTGATTTTCTTATTATTCTGCCTCTATCGAAACAAACTTATTTTGGGGGTGGACTTTCCCTTTAAGTCTATAAATGAATTAAGAAGAATTGTAGAGGTACACTGTATGTTTTCAGCTGCTTTATGAAGAAGTCAAATGATGTACTATATGTGTTTTCTTAAAAATACAGGGGTTTTATTCCATAGATTTGTAGTGCAATTGGAAGCACAGTTCCTATTTTTGAGCTTCCAGCTGATCTTTTGAGCCACAGATTCAATTTATTTTTAAATTTCAGTATAAATATATGCAAAGTATACTGTATTCTTAATTTTGTCTTGAAATTGAGAGATTTCCCATTTTTATGTTGGACTAGGAGGATGGTACACTGTACATGTACATGTAGGTATACTGACACTACAATGAACCGTAGTAGTGGCACAGAAAATGCATCCAGAACGCTACATATACGCATAATCTTAACTTTATGGCATCAAACTGTAACCATGGCATGACGTGATGATGAGGAGCAGGTGAAATAACTGTATGACACAGACTAGGCCACATAATGTCAAACCTGTCATTCACATACATTTAATACAGTGTATGTCAAATTACGACTGTAATTCACCGACATCATAAACAATTATGCCTTTTTCCGTTCCGGACGTTTCTTTTTGTGCCTCTACGTCTTGATCTCAAAATGGATGAGAGAGATTTGAATTAAATGAAATACAGTTTATACATGTATCTGAATTTGTGAAAGCATATGATTTACAAAATGTACCAGTAACCTTTCAAGAAAACATACATGTTGTTTATGGAGACTTCTGAGTATTACATTATAATATTTTGTGTATGCAAAGAGTCTCTCAAGGGTCCTCCAAGTGAGGAATTATTAAAAATAGAAATGTTCTGTTGATTGTAAATCTGTTTTTCAAAATGTTGATGTTTGTCGAACAAAACATTTCACTTGACATTTCCGTCATTTTAGCGTAGTTGAGAGTACAGGAATTGATGAGCTGTGTAGAATTTATAATCTTCTTCTTACTCTTTATATGAGATAATTAACAAACCAGTCACAAATAGCTGACAAAACATAAGGCCTTTTTATCTTGTCTTGTTCAGATTTTATATTGATTTCACTTGGAACCGCATCAACACATCAGTGAATTTTAAGATTTGTAAAAGGTGTAGCAATGAAAATCGCTATATTAACAACTTGCAAAGTTTCATGTAGTGAACTTTCTAGTTTTACAGTTTATATCTTCAGACATTACTGCATCAAAAGCTAGATTGTATATATTTCAAGATGAAGATTGTCAATTTAACTTGTTCCTGTTTAGAATATACAAGTATCTTGTTTAGCATTTTCTTTTTTGGAAGGACTTCTTTAATCTTCTTCATATTCAGTGCCTTCAATTTTTCTGTCAAGATTTGAATGCAATATTTTCCTTTTTAGAATAATAAACATGTACCTTTAACCATTGTATATCAATATTTCTTTTTGCAGGCCTTCTCTATATTCTCCTTTTCTAGTGCCGTCATTTTTTTGTCGAGATTTGAATTCAACCTTTCCTTTTTTAGAATATACATGTATCTGCTATCTTCAACCGTTATTCGTCAATATTTCTTTTGGCAGGCCTTCTCTATATTCTCCTTTTCTAGTGCCGTCATTTTTTTGTCGAGATTTGAATTCAACCTTTCCTTTTCAGAATATACATGTATCTGCTATCTTCAACCGTTATTCATCCATATTTCTTTTGGCAGGCCTTCTCTGTGCTCTTCGTATTCATTGCCTTCATTCTTTCTGTCAAGATTTGAATTCAATCTTTTCCATTTTTGAGAATTTAAATGTGTCTTTAACCGTTCTTTGTCAATATTTCTTTTAGCAGGCCTTCCCAGTGTTCTTCTTTTTAATTGCCTTTATTCTTTCTGTCAAGATTTGAATTCAGCCTTTTCTTTTTAGCATATATATACATGTACACTGTACATTTATCTTTAACCATTGTTCATCACTATTTCTTTTGGCAGGCCTTCTCGGTGTTCTTCATTTTCATTGCCTTCACATCGGACATGATTTGCCTGCTCTTCATCCCAGTGCACTGGCTCTTCTTTGCAGCCAGCACCTACGTGTGGGTCCAGTTTGTGTGGCATACTGGTGAGTAGCATCTCTACACTGTCTGGGGGCTGTTTCACAAAGATCCTAAGTTGAACTTATCTCTTAGTTGGATTTAACAATTATGGAAAGCCGTTAGCATCTATGAAAATATTTTATAAAAGTTATATTAAAAGGAATTTTCTTGATGTGGAATTTATAAAAAGTCTAAAATACTTGATTTTTCGCTTTTGAATATATTTTATTTTAAGGCTACATATGGCTCTCCATAATTTTAAAGTCCAACTTAGAGTTAAGTTTGACTCTCCATGGCATGTGTCCAGAGTACATCTCAGATTTGCTCACACCGTACATCCCACCAAGGCGTTTGCGGTCATCTTCTCAACACCTTCTCACCCTCAATCATGGAGCCACAAAAACCTATGGTGACAGGGCATTTGCATGTGGTGGACCAAAACTTTGAAACGCTCTCCCAGTGTCGCTACGCTCCATGACTGATGTTGAAGTTTTTAAGAGAGCGCTGAAAACTCACCTCTTTGATGAATGTTTTGTGTAATTATTATGTAAACGTACATTGTACATTGTAAAGCACTTTGGGAGGGCCTTCGGTCCTGAAATGCGCTATAAAAGAACAAACTATTATTATTATTATTTAGGACCTTTCTGAAACACCCCCAAGGTGTCTTCTGTGGAAAGGCACCAACCGAAAAAGTTGGTCCATTTTTTCTGCAATTGTTATAATAGAGGGATAAAAACTTAGTTTAGGAAGTTGTTACCATCGCTGCTAATGTTAGGGTATGTACTGTAAGAACTGAAGTGTGTTATTCAGATGAGTCCTAGCTGTAATCCAGGGCTCCAAGCTATTAAACTCTTTTGCGACCTACGGAGATGTCAGGAAGCGGAAATCCTGTTTAAAAAAACATGATCAGCAACAAATTCATGATTTCGATACTATCGGCTAAAAAATCTATTCTTTGTCACGATTGATCAGATTTTATCCACCACTGCTAATGTCAGGTGTCACCATGTGATGTACACGTTCATTTGTTTAACATGCTGATCACAATTTCCTTGATCTCATATTCCGTTGCATTTCCTCCTTTTATAGATCGAGGCATCTGTTTACCGACAGTGGCTTTATGGCTGCTGTTTGTATACATTGAAGCTTCAGTAAGACTCAGAGGGTTAAGATCAGTGGTTCCATTTCATCTGGATTTATGCAGGCCATTCGCTGCTCACTGGTAAGTAGATCTTTGGTGTAATATTAAGCAAATACATCTTGCTCTATCGTACATCGTTTATATAGCAGGCAGTTGACCTTGATGTTTCTTTTTTTATAATGACTTATAACGTTATGCTCTACATTTCTGTATCTTATAACATACAGATAAAGCGACTACACCTGTATGCCACCTTCAGAACTCGACTAAAGACATACCTATTTCAGATTGCTTACAGTTAGTCACTGCTTTAACGTCTTTCCCAGTTAGAATCATGAACAGACATGCTTGGTAGTTCTTCAGTCTCATCAGCGCCTTTGATTTAATAGGCAACTAGATATTGGCGCTTTATAAATACTTGGATTGGATTGAATATGCCAAAGGACCTGTGTTGCGTGCAGTTACTTTTTTCATCCCCTGTTATCATTCATTTACAAATGAAAAGGTGCTTCAGCTTATGTGTGAAAAAGTCTTTTATGCACCCCGTTAATCAGACAAAGCCTCCTAAACTGAGAGTAAATCTATTGATTTTATATTGACATGATTTATGAGATTTCCAATACTTTTATTACAATCTTTTTCCCATTTGCCACTGTTGTAAAGGTCACATCAGGTATAAAAAGTAAAGTAGTGTTGGTCTGAAGAATTGTGGAGGCGTTGCAAGGGTTTACGACTGTCAGTTTAAAAAAGACTTTATGGAGAACAAGTTTTTAATCACAGTTTTGAACCCTTTCAGAAGCATTCACTTATTTTCCTTTGAGATTACCAGGTAAGAATTGCCACCATTCCCAATATGCAAGGTTGATTTGATTATAAAGTATATTGTTTCCAATTCCATCATAAGGTAATTTTTTAATATCAGGGATGAAAGAAACATCGCCAAACCATCTACAATATCTAATGGGCACTCCCTGGAGTATATGCTGAATCTATTTATCTCTTTTCATACATATTTTGTTGTCAATTTTGTCAATTTTTTCAATTGAATGTTTTGCAAGCCTGTATTTCAACTGTCGACCATCTACCAAAGCAGTGTGGCTGTGTCAAGAACATTTTGGATAAATTATATGAATACAATTCTTTGATCCTGTTTGCTTTCAGTATTGGCTATCCGGTAGTTACTCTAGGGTTCAACTTCAAAAGTTATGTGAGCTATCGCATGAGGCTGAGGAAGCAGAAAGAGGTTCAAAAGGAGAATGATTTTTATATGCAGCTCCTGCAGCAGGCACTGCCCCCAGAGCAGCAGGCAGCCAATGGCGTCGCGGTCGCTCCAGCTGAAAAACCTACAAAAGGTGAGAATATTCTTGAGTATCGTTTGATTTTTCACAGCGTATTATGAATAAAGCACAAGTTTACTAAGAATAAAATACCAGTTTTCATACTCATAGTTTTAACTCATGAGTGACTTGTGTGGTGGTGGTGGTTATGTTACCTGACTGCTAAGAAAGCATAAATGCTTGTTCGTAAGCTACCAGAGAACCGACTGCTTTAGGTCCTCTCTGGGGGACCTGGTAATGAGGATTAATGCACATTGATACGTATAAGAGTGAAAAATTGCCCTGTATATGATGTCTTTCCGTGACTTTCATAAAGTCTAACCCGCTTTAGTGACCATCTGCCTGTAAAGACCACATTGTTTCCCTAGATCGCATGTTGTTTATTGAAATAACAAGAAGCAGAAACATTAAAGACTGCCTTTCTAATTTGTATCTCTATTGACTGGTCTTAACATTAGTGAGTACATACTTACTCTGAGACGTTTGTGATATTGATGGCAATGAAAGGGATAAAGCTTGGAACTATTTGTATTTTTGATCCTCAACAGCTGTGAGTAAAAAGCCTGACGAGCCTGTAGCAAATGGAGTCGGTGGTAAGAAGGAGTCTCCGAGTAGCAAGCAACCAAAGAACCACCCCACAGGGGACGGAGGTGGTGGTGGAGGCAATGAGAGAAGCAATGTGACTAAAGACAGCCGTAATAAACATGTCGGAGCAAACAATGCCAGCACGCATGCCAAGTCCACGTCGACCACTCCGCAGGATGGCAATTACATAGAAACAAAGACTTCTCAACTCTCATCCTCCTCCTCCTCCTCCTCCTCTACTTCGTCATCATCATCGTCGTCATCGTCGACGTCGACGACGAGCAGTCACTCTGTGAATGAGTTTGACAACGTGAAGGAAAATCTTGCCAACGAGCAGACGCAAGCCAAGAATCTGAAGCAGATCTCGGTGGGGTCGTCGACGCGGCAGCGCAACCCTTCGCCCGTGATGAAAGAGAACAGTTCCTCGGGGCAGGGGAGTAGAAAGCCGAAGCCGCTGCCTTCCAAGCTAGAAAATAAAGATAAAGATAAGGATACAAACGTTAGTGCGGAGCAAGCGAGAACGATGAACAGCAACAACCAGCAAGTTAAGACGGATCCTTCCAAGTATACCATAGCTAGGTAAGATTAGCACAGTGTACAAACAATTCACAGCAGTGAGGGCATTAGTATAGTAATAATGACTGCTTTGAGAGAAATTGTTGTTTTTATACGCTCAAGGGGAGGTTACACTCGGGCAATAGCACGATTGTAACCTCTTTGTGTAACCTCTTTGTGAAACCGGTCCCTGTAAGACTGACATTGTAGGTCTTCCGTGCTTTCAGTGGCCTGGGCTGTTAGTTTCACTGGCTGTAGCAGTCAATCAGGAATGAGCCTTTGCATTCTTTCAATACTATTTTATTGTTGTGGACTATTGTGATTAATAAAGTTGTTAGTCATTCTTAACATCAGCTTAGTGGAAGTATAACCCGTCAAATTTGTTTAGTCAGTTTTTATCTCTTTTTAGTACAATTTAAAGGGTTATTTTAAAGCGAGAAGTCAAGTTAACTAAGAGATGTCTTATTGATCTTCTACAGGTTGGAGTCTGATATAAAGAAGCTGAAGGCTGACCTTCAGGCCAGTCGTCAGGTAGAGAGTGACCTTCGAAACCAAGTCAACAGTATATTAGCTGATGAAATACAAGATAAGGAGGTCATGGAACAGTATAGAAAAGATAATGAATCCCTTCAAAACAGGTGCGTCTCTCTCTGTCTCCTCCTCTCTTTCTCCCCCTTCTCCTCCCTCTCTCGCTATCTTTCTCTGTCTCTTTCTATCTCTATCTCTCTGTCGATCTCTCTCTCTCTCTCTCTTTCTATCTCTCTGTCTGTCGATCTCTCTCTTTCTATCCCTTTCTCTCTGTCTGTCGATCTCTCTCTCTCTCTCTCTTATCATTTGATAGGCAATTAGGCATCGTACAACAGATATGTTTTTATATCTGAAATTTTATGGATTCTGATATTAGGAGCTAAAAATCAAAATAAATGATGTATGTATTTCAAAGGAAAGCATTTGCATGTGTGTACAGTTCAATAGCCGTTTGGTTTCTGAAATCCTCAAATTGAACGTAACCTTGAACCTTTTTACCTCTTATCAGAGATTGCATGATTCGGTGACCCAGAATGAAAACTGTATTTCGTAGGAGAGCATTTGCCTGTTTGTACAGTTCAATAGCCATTCAGTTTCTGAAATCTAAAATTTAACGCGACCTTTAACCTTTTGACCTCTCATCACAGATTGCATAATTTGGTGACCCAGAAGCAGCAGGACAAGCAGAACATAATTCAGCTTGAGAAGAAGGTCAAGCAGGAGAGGGACGGGAGAACCTCTCTTGAGAACCTACTCAAGGAAGAACGGAAAAGTAGAAAAGCTGAAGAATCCTGCAGACAATATTCTCATGCAAGGTATTAACTCTTATCATGCCACAGGGCTAATCCCCATTGTGCCAAGCCCCGAATCCCCCAGTGCCAAGTTTATATTGAGATAATCTGATTAACGCGATGGTTCTATGAATAGCAAGTGCAAAACACACAGCACACTACAATGAGCATTAACAATAACTGCAAATACGAATGTGTGCAAGCACGCACATGGCAGCATAGCAATGGTTTGCTCGCATGTACAACGATAGCGTGCATGCAGCCTTATTGCATGCTATGAGTTAAAATGATGCATTGATTGGATGCCGTCATTGTCAAGAAATTATGTGTATCATTTTGAAAATATGATATATAATATATATAATAATATACAGCAGGCTTAAGGTTGCACCAGTTGAGAGAGGGGGGAGGATTGGGGAGCCCTCAAATGGACTGTTGGTAATCTTTCTTGAGCTTATAGTACGCGCCAGAGCTGGCAACTAGTACGGATTTCCCGTAATTGGTACGGAAATTAACGACCATTACGGCAGTACAGAATGTTGTCTAAAAATTACGGATTAAAAGAAAAAAAAAAATGCATTTTTTTGTTTTGTTTGCGCATAGGGATCTATCGTAAGCAAGTGCTGTGCAGTATGGTGGTCATCCAACACTCGCTGCATGAGAAAGATGGAAAAGTATCAAGTATTCTCTTAACAGAAGCCAATTTTTCATTGAAAACTTATGTGTTGTGATGAACTGAAAATCAATATGTAGCAACTTTGTGGGTGTAAAATTACACAAAATTCCAGATAATCATGGGCGCATGCGTCCGCTTGCCATTCTTTTTAGATTCATGGCGCTGCATAAGAAATTATTGATTTATTCCCCAAATTACTGATTTTGAGCCTTATGATTAAAGATTTTGTGTTCTGGAGGTTGGCAGCTCTGTAATGCCGGTTGGAGAGGATGGGTAGTAGGAAGAGCTCAATGTTTCAAACAGGTTGACTTTCTGTCTGTCGTCAGGAGTGTATATAATAATTTAATATATAAAATATAAATTATTATTATATTGCAGTATGGTCTTACCTACCCAGGAGAGCCTCAGCGTTATTAAAATTGCTGTTTTCTAGGGCCGCAAATTTTTCACCCAGACAAAAATGTGGGAATTTGTTTATCAATACATCCATGCAAATGAAAGTCATCAACAAAATACAATGGTCTATTTGCTTTTTAGGGTCCATGGTAAAGTTTCTTGTGTTTCCTGTGCAACTTTTATTTATTTTTTTATTTTTTAAGAATTCATTCATTTCTCAGCAATATTACTCTTTGTTACCGTATTTAAATTGAACAATTTCAGCCCTTGGCCTGTATGTTCAGTGGATATATTGTCACAATTACTAGGACTTTAAAAAAAGTTAGACACATATCCTTGCAAAACCACTTGAAGTAACTGATGAATATATGTTTGTTTGTGTTTGTTGTAGTGGTCTGTATCTTGCTCCTTTGTATTTGTTTGACACAGTAGCGTGGAAGAGTGCACGGAAAACTGTCGCACGAGACGCCAGGACCAGGAAAGCGAGATTCAACATTTATTGAAGGAAACGAGAGACAAAGGAGATAGATTAAGAGATTTAGAACAAAATATTGAGGTAAGCTATCCAGCCACGTAGCCATAGATAGTATTCTCTCAGCTGTTTTGAGGCAAAATTGTTAGATTTTTGTGGCTGACTGTCAGACTTTTTTTTGTTGATAAACATTTCTTTACGACCTTAACCCTTAATTTTGAGCATCTCACTGACTGGGGGGCCTGGGAGCCCCCCCCCCCCCGAGATGAACACGAACATTTGCATGTTTGTAGATATTTACGTAAGGAACAAGATGGTATAATTAGTTTTTTCCTAATATGCAAATTTTTGTCGTTATAGCCTAATTAATTATGCAAAATGCTAATATTATGCATTTCTTCACATTTCTGCTTGTACGTGAATATATGCAATTATAGCACTTTTTTGATGACATGCGCATACTAATTGTTATGTAACACCTTACAGGTATATCCAATTTCGACGAAAATGGTATCAAAATGTGCATAAGACTTGAGGGGAAAAAGTCATGAAACGACAATTCAAAATTCAAAACGGTTGCGGTGCAATCTCTGAAGGGGGGGGGGGGGGGTGGGTTGGGGCCTCCTAGGCTCCCCCCCCCCCCAGTACAGTTAGGGTTAAATTAAGAACCATATCACATTGTTAACCAAACCTTGCTTAAGCAACTTTCTTGCTTCAATAAGAATACAAGTTATATTGCACAGTCAGTTGTTGAATTGAAAAGCCAAACACTTTTCCCTTGGTAATACAAAATCATTGTGTTTACTTCAAATATCATCCTGATGTCAATCTTGTATGCAAGGTAATCGGGGTATTGATATTGGTTCAGAGTTTATTTCTCAAGTGTTTGAAAATGGGTGTGTTTAACTAAGGAATTGTTGAAGAGATTAAACGTAAAATTGTGTCTTTTGTTAGTCCGAAATCCATGAGCATTCGGAATTCCAAGTTTTGTACCAATATCAATAGTTTTCTTCATCATAAAGAATTCCATCGATATTTCAGTTAATAGAGAATCTCTTAAATTGAGTAGAGATTTTCTTCAATCTTTTTTATTTTTAATTCATTATTATTATTACTTAGTTTGATTTTTTAAATTTCTGTTTGATTTTCTATTTCTTTTGCAGTTTTAAAAATATATAACAAACAAATCATTGCAAATTTTATACACGACTTTTGATAGCTAGCAGTAGAAATTATGTTTTTGTTCGCCTTTCACAGCTCCGGGAACGTCAGGAAATCCAGAGCAATAACGAGAGGCTGATGAACGCCCTGGTAGCCATGCAAGATAAAACAGCTCAGCTGGAAAACAGTCTTAGGGCGGAGACCAAACTCAAGCTAGATCTCTTCTCAGCTCTGGGTGACGCAAGGCGACAGGTTGAAATAGCTGCTAGTAAGTTTCAAGTGGTGTCATTAAGGCAAGGTTATTACAAGAGAATCAAAAACTCCAGTGGTATTCAAACTTGATCTTTTAATTCTTTTATTTTATGCCTCAGCCCACTGAGGGTGGTTGTGGAGGCATTGTGTTTTTGTGAATAAAGGAGAATAAAGGAGGTAAATGAAAAAAAGGAAACATGAACATAAGATTGGAGGACTCCGTCCCACATCCTCTCTTGGGTCTGTGTCCTTGTTAAAGCTTATTTCATTTACTTTATAAGACCTTATATTACTGGTGCCTCATATTACACCATTGAAATATAATGATGTGATACATTTGTGAGTATTTTTTCACTGAATGGATAATACTTAAGAAATGTGCTCTGCCTTTTTATTTTGTGTCGTGCAGGTCAATTACATCACAAGGATTCTGAGATCCGTGAGTTAAAATCAACCATAGCTGACCTGATGGCAGTAATGCCCATGGCCAACTACCCTTCAACCTCCACCTCTGGCAGTGCACCCGCCACCCCGCGGTACTCTGTCAACTTCTGCAGCCCGCGTCAGTCACAGGCCGACGAGAGCTCCAAACCAGCGGCGGTCACCAAGCCAATGGCGGGGGTATCTCCCCTCGTTCAGCAGCAACCAACGCCACCGCCCCAACCGCAGCAACCGCAGCAGCAGCGATCCAACCCAGGGACCCCTCCCCCTGGTGCACAGTCGCAGGGGACTTCCCCCGCCAAGTCATCGGGGCTCGACCCCAATGCAGCCATCTACAGACCTAAGAGTAACTAGAACATAAGTAGAGAGAGAAAGAGAAAACAGATAAGGATCTTCTTGCCAAGGTGTGCTTAGTCATGGTGTGATGCTTCATTTTTTCGTGCTTGTCAAAGTTGTCGCTTTATTGTTTGTAACATAGCTCACATAGAACGGTCCGTTTCATTCATACTCCAGAAAAACAAAGGGTGTCCACATGTGTTGTCTCATGCTTCCTCAATGGCTCCTGTTGAACATTGATAGATATTTAAAGTTAAAGATCACAAACATTTTGATAAGATTGATGCACAAGTAGATAACCAGTTATTGCTTCCATCAGGGATGCCAGTTTTCAGATTATTGTTCCATTTCTAGCCCTTACATCTTTCCAATTCAGGTCTTCAGTGGTTTAGTAGCTTACAGAATGTATGGGGCTTCAGCGTGTACTGTATCAGCCTATTCTCAGGGCCACTGGGTAAAACAATTTGTTTTCCATCATACATGTAGAGTTCATCTGTGAGAGCCAGAAGGGCGTTAACTCTTGAGTTGATGTGTAGGAGTTAACTCCCTTCTGGCTTCAAACAGCAAGTTATAAAGGGAGGTAGGCAAAAACCACAATCATATGAACATTGAGTTGATTTAGGATCTATTCCATAAAACACCTGTCAGACAAATTGCAGTCAGAAAACAAAGCATTACCCCAGTGGTGAAAAAAAAGTTGGGTTTGGAGATGGTTTTTTTATTCAGTTTTTGTGGTGTAGCTGAGTTAGCAGGTATGATCCCTTCAATCTTGTCAAAGTCAAGCAGCCCCCTCCCCCCCCCCCCCCCCCCCCCCCCCAACTATATATTTTATAGAAAGGATGTAATGAAAAAGTGTGATAACATTTCAAAACATAGAAATCAGGAACTGGAAGGAAAAAAGTGTTGTAAAGCAGAACTGACCAAACAGCTGTCTTGAGCCTAATACTGAATTTGTATCAAATTTGATAATATTGCTCTTGTGAGCAGTCTGAGGCTGAGGCTTTCTTGTGTGCTTGTTTGTTTTTTTGGCGATCCTCAATAATGATATTGTTGTAATGACCTTATCAAGATATGCTTTAGGTTAAATGATAAGGATTTTCAGTGAGGGAATGCCCTTGCATTCTCAGGTATAGGTCAATAGTGAAATTGTGTCAATGATAAATCAAGCTTTTTGTTTTGTTCATGGGAACTCTTCCTGGATTACCATCAAATTTGGATGATGTCAATCAATTTTCAAACTGTTCCCCCCACCATCCCCCCCCCCCCATATTCCCAAAGTACTTCTTTAAAGTTAGTGGTAGAGCTAATTGTCTCCCTGCTCTCAAGCTACTATGTGTCATCTACTCAGTGCCAAAAGGGTGTTAAGTTTACTTAATTTGATACAGAGTTAATGTCATTCTACCTCTTAACATACCGGTAATACTTTTTATTTAATCTAATATTTTTCAACTGAACGGCACAAGGTCTTTTCATAATAAGTATACACAACATTTTCAGTGAAATATGGGTAAAGATAAGGTTGTATAGTGATCTAAAGGCATTATCCCTTTACTCCAAATATGTTCTGCTTAATGCCAAAGCTCCTATGTTTTATCATAAAACGGAATCGAGTCACAAAGCCGTGGAATGGCGAGGCTCGAGTACTTGACTTTGAATGGATGGGAGTCTCGTAGAGTCGATAATTTGAGTCTCGCGCCCAAGACTGTTGACTTGTGTCTTTTTACTCAGAGTTACATGCAACGTCCCTCGGGCTCGAAGCAGACTGGTGATATGCATGTCTCAAGTGTAGACAAAGATAAGCCAATACAGAGTTAAGCAAACACATATACAGGTCAATTACTAGTAATGCCAGTTATGTTATCATTTTGTTAACCATACAAACCTTTGACGTGGTCATGTGACTAAAAGTGACTAAAAATCATTGAAATTTCCCCCTTAAAGGGCATTAATACGGGTTAAAATCAGGATTTGTGTTGTAGCTAATATAAACTTTTCCAACTTTGAGAAATGAAGCATCATATGTTAACAAGACCTCTAACCTGTAATCTAGATTTATGCACTCAAGAATCATTATAAACATATTCTGTGAAGCAGATACGCTCACATTGATGTGTAACCTTATTGTTAGGACGAGTTCAGACAGCTATGAGAAATGAAGCATCACATGTGAACGCACCCTATTTCCTGTAGTCTACTCACACTAGAATCAGTATAGAATGAAGGACCCTTTCACACGTAACATTAGCACAAAAAGGGGAGAGGTCGTTAACACCGTTGGTAAATGTACGTAGGAAACACCACTCAGTTCGGGTAGCCTTGTTCCACTTGCAAACAATACAAAACTACATTGCACATAAGTCATGGTGATAATTATAATGATTGTTTATTACGAAACGCTTTACCAATTAACTGGAAGTGCTTTACCAAAGCGCTTCCAGTATTATTACTCCCCCGATCACTTGGATTAGATCATTCTTCAGGGGAGGAGTCCAGCCAGTTGTTGTACGGGCGTGTTCATCACTCTTGTTGACTTTAGCATCCTAACGGGGTACCCATTTTTTATGTGAGGCTAGGAAGAAATTGTTTCTTTTGCTATTAAACCAGTATTGCCCTGTTAATAATTGACCATCTCAGCTTTATACCTTGGACGATACACCTTGCAATACAACAAGGTATAAAAAAAAAAGCTTTACACATTACAAAGTTGATCGAGTACATTGTCATAATAACAGTTGCAAAATGATGCTTTAATTTTTGATTAGTTTCCATTTTTTTTTTTATAAATCATGGTATGTACGATTTTCATAGTTTTTTGTAAGAAGAGGTGTAAGTCTTGGATTGCAAAATCTCCTACGTTGTTTTTTTTTTTTGGGGGGGGGGAGGGGGATCATGCATCACCACCCCCCCCCCCCCAAAGTCTCATTAGGGGTTATGTCAAAAGACTTACCTCACATTTGTGTAACAGAAAACACCATTACTCCCATTGTATCAAAATGCAATTTGTTTCTTTTTCTTTGTGGATCTAGTTAGCACAAGACCCAGTTGGTCATCAGTTTTCTTCAGCTTTGAAAATTAAAACGGGGAGAAGATGGGTCAGGTTTATCTGCTGGCCGGATTTTTATTTATTTATTTATTTGTTTACTATTTTTCTGTTTTAAATATGCTGCTCTGTTCAGAAATTCCAAATTGTGATTTAAAAATAATTACAACTTAATTATTATGCTCAGGAAAACTTAAATCCATATTAGCCATATCACAATACAGTTGTATGTATTGTTGACAGACCCGCATTAAACTTATAATTTCTAAAACATGCAAGCATCGCACAGAAAATGTTTATGAAGTTTTGTTATCCCCTTATTGATGAATAGAAGTAGGAAACTTTAAGGAAATATGTTTTCTCACTCCTGGATTTTTTTGCCTTCTTTTGTTTTGTTCATATTTTGACCAACACTGTACTTGTATTTGCATTTTTAAACAAATGTTTACAAGGGAAGACTTTTTTTCACCCCATTGACTCTTAACCAACACTGGATTTACCTTTAAAACAAAAATTGCATTGTGGAACAAGGCTACCTATCACAAATCTCACCTCGATACATGTGTAGTTAGCTGTAGGTAGCACATTACATGTCCGTTTGAAAGCTTTTAGCTTCAGCACTGTGTGGTAGAAGAATATGTGAGCTGTGTTTTGTACTTGTTGTCACACACAGCATTAGAAGCACATGGGACTACACAGGAGACACTGGTTAGATATTCACCTGGTCTGGTATAAAGGGGAAAGTTACAAGGAAAGTTTGATGGAAAGTTTATTGAGCTTTCAGAATACTGCCCCCTCCCCCCAATATTATATTTACATATTGGCTTGGAACATTTTGAGGGGTCGGTGACACAAAGACGTAACTCCATTTTGGCCATTTTGAGAAAAAGTGGTTTATGTGTCACTGGGCACTTGGGCCTTAAGGAGTTAAGTCTATGTGTCACTAGCCATTGACTTCAATGGGGTTGGAGTTTAGTCTTTATGTTTCCTGGAAAGCCCACATTTTTCTGAACATTTTGATATCAAATACTCATTTGGCAAAATATAAAGTTACGTCTTTGTGTCACTGAACCCTCGATATTAGCTTGGAACATTTGCAGTCTTCTAAGCCAGATATATTTTTTGAAATGTTCAATATTTTCAGTCCTTGAAATTTAAATTAGAAGTACAAGCATCTAATAACATTTCTTTTGATCATTGTTAATGATCAAAAGCCACATTATTTGACCTATTAATTTTGCAAAGTCTTAAAGATGAACATGATTTCATTCAAGATATACTAAAGTCTGCACCAAGGTGGAATCATTAATGCTGCCCTCTACAGGCATGACCAGACCAGGCATAACCAGATTAGTCCTTTTGTGAATTTAAAACAAGCACCACTATCTTACACTGCGCAAGTCACTTTGCTTCCGCGCGTCGGTATAGTTACGTTTCTCCATTGGTCAATGTGTAATACTTTTAGGCTTATCTTTCTGTGAGTAATAGTGGCTAGTTAAGTTGGTTTCTTGTGTCCTAAAAACTATGTAGATGGTCTGTAGCAGCGGTATTGGAAGTTGATGATGACGTAACAAAACGTTTACGGTTTCAGAAGAGAAGCCGTTGAAATTCTTACAAGTTTACATTGCACTGTTCAAGCGATCTGCTCGATCGGTAATGAGTTTGGAGAATAAGTTATGAGACATTACGCTTCAGTTTGTAAACAGGTTTGGTCTAAGCAACCTAAGCTCAGGTCCCAACTATTGCTTACACGTAATGTTATACATCTGGGTTCACTCATTCAAGTAAAATTGAAAAGAAAGGCGAAATGTTGTATGCGTCTTGTTATTGGGTCGTTATTCTCGATCGTGCTGTGAATGTGTGATGATTGAAGATTAGAGAGAGAGGAGGGAGAAGCAGTGAAGGAAAGAGTGTGAGAGAGACAGAGAGAGACATAAAGAGAGAGAGAGAGAGAGAATGAGAAGGAAAGAGATCGAAAAAAGGGGGAAGGGAGGGTATTTTGCACATTGGTGACGTACGGTCAATTTAACTTAAATGTGTTTGTGTGAATTGTATCCTAATTATAAATACACATCTAATATTACATTAATAATGCACTTTTTCATTAGATGCAAGGCGCATAAACAAGAAATACAAACAAACGAAAAGAGAGAACATTATCATACGAAGCTTACATCAATTACAAACGGAGAGGAATATTCCAACAAATTAGAAAAGATATGTTTCCAGACGATTCTTGAAAACTGTGCCAGTATGGCAGTTCTTAAGTACAGGGGGTAAAGAGTTCCAGGATCGGGGGGTAATGACGGATAGAGCCCTACCACCTGAAGATTACTAGTTCTACGTGGATGCCAGTTTTCAGGCAATAGCCTGAATTCAGGCCCTGGCGAGTTATTTTCAGAACATAGTGTAGGCTTTTTGTGTACAAAATAGCTCATTCTAGGTGATTTTCAGGCCCTCTGATCAATTCTAACTGGCATCCTTGGTTCTATACAAGAGAACTATTTCAACTGATCCGAAGTCATAATGTTTGTCTATATACTTAACAATTAATGTATGCAATTCACATTCTGACTTTTGAGATAAAATTATTTACAACCGGTACAACGAGGCACTTAACAAAGATGTGAGCCTTAATTAAAATTGGATTACATTACGGAAATGGTATATAATTATGTACAGTGCGCACCAGAAAAACGAAACTCGAAAACAACAGGTTGTAAATATATAATTAATTGCTTTTCATAAAGTAAAAGTAATATGCTTTAAAATGATACATTAATTATCTCAATCCATACATGCTTCACGGAGCAACATTGTTTTGAAAATGGCATGTCAAAATCCATCTGTGCCAGATTTCGGTAAAACCATGAACACGTTCGGATCACACGCGAACATGTAGATGCTAGATGTAAAATTAAAGATAATCTGACAGTTTGAGTGAAAACAGACCATTATTAATGATACAAATTGGGGGAAATTGATCTGATCGATTCCTTAATTCTCCCAACTATATCATTATATCATTTATTACATTTTAGGTGAATATGAATCATTTCAAAGCAATGGAATGGCTCTGTATACCATTCCAGACATTAAAGTGTCGAAAGATTTTCAAAAGTCTGTCTTATGTCTTATTTTCAAGGAAAAACGGTTGGGAAAATTCAAAAATGGTTGGGGAGAATTTTACTGTTAGAGGGTGTTGCACAGTGACGTCTTCAAAGAAAACCATAATTATCTTTGTGGTTTGAGAATTTTTAAAGAATTTTGTGCATGTAAGAGGGTTAGTACAGTAAAAGGACTATAATTAATATTTCGTACAAAACTTACGCAGTTTTTTCATCAACCTTCAACAATGTTACCGAGTCACTTTAACATGGGGACAGGAGCGGGCATTCACTTCTACCTACCAAGGCAGAACGGCCAGTGGCGGATCCAGGGGGGGGGGGGGCCTGGGGGCCCGCCCCCCCCTTGAGAAAAAAATAATGTAAATTCACGTGATTTTTACCTTTTTAGGAAAAAATTTCGAGGACCAAAAAAAAAAAATTTGCCCACTACCCCCCCCCCCCCCCCCCCCCCACTGAGCGACTTTTCGACCTGCGCGATTTTCAAATTTTCGGGAGCAAAAAAAAAATAAAAAAATTGTGCTCACTACCCCCCCCCCCCCCCGCCCCCCGCCCCCCGCCCCCCCCCCTCCCCCCACTGAGCGACATTTCGGCCGGCCTGATTTTCAAATTTTCGGGAGCAAAAAAAAAAAAAAAGTTGGGCCCCCTCCC